AAACAAGAACGTAGAAAGGTTCAACTCCGTGACAACAACAACAACATCCTTACCACGGCACAAGAAATACAGAAACTTACTGAATTTTGCCAGGACCTCTTTCTTTCAAAAGCGCCGGAGGTCACGGTATCCCATTGCCATGAACCTGTCAGATTTGACGTTAAAGAGGTCCAACAGACCCTTAACCTACTCAAACCGACGAAAAGTGTGCCACGACAACTTGCACCTACATCGGCCTGGAAATACCTTTCACATCTTTTAGCGCCACACCTCACTGAAATATTCCATCGCAGCATTTCAGAGGGCACTCTTCCGGAGCTTTGGACGCACGCGTGGATCACCTGGTTACCAAAGCCGGGGAAGCCACCGAACAAACCCGAGAACCTCAGACCCATAGCACTCCAAGACTGCGGAGGTAAGAGCATTGCCAAGGCACTCCAGCAGAGGATCTCACCTTGGATCAACGAGATGGTGTGGCAGCAATCTCAATTTGCTTACACTCCAGGACGCCTCCTGGAAGTTGCCGTCTTGCGTGCGGTGCACCATTGTCAAACGGTTAAGGAAGTCATTCGAGCCCAACAGCGCAACATCCGCGAGAAAAAGAAAGGCTTGGGAGCCACAGCCTGTGCTGGTGGTGCCATACTGGCACTCGACATGAGTCAAGCCTTTGACCGAGTGGACAGGCAGCAGCTGCAACACTCCTTAGAGCACTCGAATTTGCCACAGGCCTTGGTGGGGTTAATTACGCAGTGGCATAACGGTATTGCATATCACCTGAGGAGTGCCAACAAAACCAGCTGCGTCAGATGTGGAAGAGGCCTCCGACAAGGATGTCCCATGTCTCCGACCTTATGGAACGCCATAACTAGCCGGGTCATGACTATACTAGAACAGCGTCTCGGCCAGGAATGGGTGCGGAATAACTCCACCTTCTTCGCCGACGATGTTTTAGGCAAATGGGTCTTTCACTCTGTTGCCGATCTCAAGTTTATGCTCCGAGCCATTGACGCGTTGTTCACTGTGCTTGAGGAATTTGGAATGAAGATCAACAGTCTTAAATCAGCGCTAATCATTGACGCCCGCGGGCACTCTGGAAAACAATGGCTACGGGCACGCACGCGATACCTTGAGGGGAAACCGTATTTCTACGCCAAAACGGAATCAGGCCGCTTGCTTTCCATTCCGATTCAATCTGAAACCAAATATCTTGGTACGATTATTTCCTTTGGTAACTTTGCCAAAGCAACGGTTCGATACCGAATCCAGCAGGCGGAGACCCAAAGACGACGACTCCAACGAATCTTACAGGGTAAACACACCCTGAATCTCTCGCAAAGACTTAGACTCTGGCGAACCTGCGTTTGGACCTCCCTTCAACACGGTCTACACGCCATCGGGCTAGGTCGTGATGAACTTAAGTCTATTCGATCTTGCTGCGCCAGACACTTGCGTGCAATTGCCTCCTGTCCCGTGCACATCACACGTGACTCCACGACCGAACTCTTTCTCAGATTGAAAGTCCCGGAACCACAAGAGCTACTTCAACAGCGCCTGGATGGTCTCGACCGAGCAATGCGCTGCAGTCCTGACCCGATGATGAACACCCCGCATCTCCTCACAACACTCGAGACCCATTTGGAGAGCTTTCGTGACGCGGTACACTACTGGACTGGCAGAAACGAAAAACCAACACATATGCCTCCAGATGCAAACTGCACGCTCCTTAAACCTCGGGAGGGAGGAATGTGGCTCCAGCCAGTGCTCACGTCCTGCGGAGTCAAACCCGCCATGTTCACTTGTCCTGCATGCCTACTGTCCTTCGTGAACCTAGGAGCCTTGAAGATACACCACAACGAAGCCCACGATGGACCCCTCCCACCACCCTTTTCACACTTTGATCGGCACGTTCATAGCTGCGAAGATGTACCCAAGTGTAGACACTGTAGGCGAGATTTCTTGACGTGGCAGGCCTTACAAACTCATATCCAGACCAACTGCTGCGCCCTCCTGTGGCTCGCGTGTCAGGATGGCACACTACTAGGCACAGAGGTTACCTCTCCTTTGCCACCCGAACCGGGACTTCCTGTTACCTCAGCCCTGCAAACACACTGCCCCGATATCCCATCCCTTGACGAAAGACCACTGGCACAACAATCCCCGCTGCGCGACTTCATGCTCCGATGTGGCTGGATGGCTATGACCTCCTTCACCACTGCGTGTGCACGCCTCAAACACAACTGCGCATACTGCGAACAATGGATAGGAGATGGCAAAATGAAACTCCATTTTCAGAAGATACATCCCGAGGTTTGGAACAGATCGGGAACCTTGGCGACCTTGGATGGGGGGATTGCCAAATCTGGCGCTGTGTCTCCTTGCAGATTTTGTGGTAGTCAAGCCCTTAACTGCCGTGCGCACATCAGTAGGTGCACAGTTATTTGGCAAATATGCGTTTTGCGACGGGAATGGAAAGGACAGGAAATGACTACCCATCATGCAAAACATTTCCTGGAAAAACGCACACGCGCCCTGCAACTGGGACGTACACAACGCAAGTGGCGCTCGGCACACATGCAACATGTTGCAAGTGGGGACCCCCTCCAACAACAAATGAACCCCACCTTCTTTAACAAATCACCTCCCCTACTTGAGCCCCCCCGATGGTGGCATGCACTCCGCGACCCCAATTGGTGTCTCAGACAGGCGAGCCAATGCATTATATGCATGGTCTCTACCTCAGATGCTCGCGCCTACATGCTTCACTGCTTGTCGCACCATCCATGTTTCTGGTCCTCTCGTAAAGAGCTTATGCATGACAAGACCTTTCTTGCACAAGCCGCTGCAATCTGCCCCTGGTGCCAAGCAAACTCCACCAGGACTCACCTTCATGCGGAGTATTGCATCCCAGCACTCAATGCAGCTATGCTTCACTTTTATACCAACAGCCCTGATCAGGACCATGGACTCTACACCCCTGGACGAACTGAAGAACATGTACGGCGAAATGCTTCCGTCACTGAGCACGACCTCCAACACACCAATGAGCTCGGAAGCAGGCTCCCCCAACAAGAGACAGGCGGTGACGCAGAAATCCAATGCCAGCAAGAAGCAGGGAGGCCAGAAAGGATCGAAGGGTCGAGGCAAAGGCAGAGACAAGCCACAGCAACGACAAGGGGACCACTGGGGCTTCGAGGACACCTCGGCCCCGGACCCCACGGCAAAGATGATGCTCAAGCTGATGCTGAGGCACGAGCAGCAACTCATGCGGCTCAACCAAGACACAACCCTACTCTTTACGTTCCAAAACAAGCCAGGCGAGAAAGAGAACATTCTCCCGGTGCTGTTTCAGGTGAGCCAAGCATGGAAGGAGAAGATGGAATCCAGCGAGAAGCCCACGATGTCACTCAGAGTGACTGTACTTCAATGTATCTGCGCGGAGTTGCTGGACCGCAGCAAGAAGGTCATGGAGCAGGACAAGTTCAAGGAAGTGGTCATGAAACAGGGCTGGATATCCACCGAGGGCAACTGGAATTTCCTGAAGTGGAACTCAACTACAGAATCCCTGGAAGTTATGACGGGACAGGGGATCCTCCAGGAGGAGCTCGAGCAGATCGTTCAGACCATCAGCAAGAGCTGCATGCTGCAGGGCGCCCTCTATCGGATGCAAGCCACACGACGATTGGCAGCCGAGCTGACTGGGCATCAGCTCACGTTCGTGGCCGAAGTCGGTCTGCGACAGCCGGGAGCTCACAGCTTACACCAAGCCCTGCTACGGCTGCAGGGAGTGGCAGCACTGCAACTTCTTGGACTCCGAATCCACCAGCCTCGTCTGCAGATTTCCCCTTTGGCGGAATCACTTGGCCAATTCCTCCGATGACCATCCGCAGCCTCGCCCTCAACAACCCACACAATGTTTGCTACATGAACTCTGTCATCTTAGCGTGGCTTTGGATTGCAGCACACACACCAGGATCTCCCCAACACGTTTTTGGACGAGCCGCAGCCGCTTTCGCGCGGATCTTACATGCCACTTCCGCCAACCCGTATGTAGCGGGAATGTTGGCATGGAGACCCATCTTACAAACCTGGGCTGATGTGCAATCACAACATGATGCTCATGAATTTCTCTGCCATGTTCAGGCTTATGCAGATGCCCCAGTCTTCGATGGAGTTTGGGAGGCTCGTCGATATCAAATCCCAACACACTCTTACGATACCATGGATTCAGGCACGATGCAGGCAGGTATCACTATCCCGATTCCCCCTCACGCCAGCTCGCTAAACACGTGTCTTCGTGATTGGGCAATGCAAAGTCACACTCGTGCGCTCATTTTGTTGCCGCAGTGGATTAGCGTGCATTTGCCTAGATATCATCGAACCCGAACCGGCACTCGTAAGAGCAGGGTATGTATACAAATCACTGCTGGAGAAGTCGTGTACGTCCCCATCTTTAGCCGCAAAGGTTCCACGCTTCAATGGATCCCATATCGCCTCATGGCAGGCGTCATCCATTTGGGAGCCAACACACTGAGTGGCCACTATAGGACCTTTCTATGTCACCATGACGCCACTTGGAACTTCTTGGCCACAGATGACAAAAAGCCCGCAGAGCTTTGTGATGACAACTTCCTGCACCACATTCAGCATGATTGTTACCTCTGTTTTCTTCAGAGAGTGCCTGCAGCACCTGGCACCACGTCAGGTCGAACCGATTGAGGTCACCTCATCGGTTAGATGCACCGAGCCGGTATGAGTGACGCAATGTACAGTACATTACTTTCTTTTCTTCATTTCTCCTCCTGTCGATACTACTCTGTATAGCTGGGGAATCCGTAGAAGTAGTTCTGAGACTGCGGGACTCATGAGTCGAGTCTTTGCTTGTTCCTCGTGCCTCTCCGCTTGCGGCTAGCCGCGGGGGAGGTTTTTAACACTCTACTTGCCATCTCGAATGGCCGCATGTACATACATGTGTCAGGTAGAAGTAGCCGCGCTAGGTTCAATCACCATTGAGCTGCGTATGCAAATGCAAAAAAAAATGCCTTTGTCTTGATGCGGCGTCCATTCGGGAGTTTGTGGCTGGACACCTTGACATAGGTAGGTTGAACCCAGACGAATTTACCACCCCGCTTCACTCGCTTCTTCTTGTGAGTGACAGCATCATGAACGACGCCAGGGATCTTCATGCGGTAGGAACGCGCGGAGTCGGAATGGAGCACGACGGATCGGTTTTTGAGCCACTTGTTTGCTAGAGGTTTCCAGTCAATTTTGCGCATAGCCCCTGGGCCTGGGGCTCTGGGCACGGTGATTGCCGGATTGAGCTTTGTCAACACCAGGGTGTGTGGAGATCCTCTTTGAATAAGGCCGCCCCACTGCTCCCACTGCACGTTTTTGCTTGCTGCAGCATCATCTTTTGTGAGTTCGTACTCTTGCAACGTTTTCTTGTTAAAGGTGGCCTCATCGACCTCAACATCTTTCCAACTCTTGGGGTTCCCTCCAAAGCAGATGGACTTTTCGGATTCCTGCACATGACCTTTGCGAAGAAGTGACAAGTTCTTGTTCATGTGCTCAACTGCTTTGTGGTTCATGTGGGTCAAGATGTGAATGTCAGCCAAAGGAACGTTGACGAGTCGAAGTAAGAGTGCGGCAGCTTGCTTCTGTAGGGAGTGGCCTTCTGAACCCATGGTCTTTGTGAAGATCGGGTGCAGCTCCACAGGCGAGATGTAGTGCTGACAATGCTTGCGATTGCATCGATACACGAGATGATCAGAACCGGGACGAGTCATGAGGGAACTGAGTCTTCCTGTGTTGCAATGAGGACATACAGCACCAGTCCAGTCGGGTAGCATCTTGTCCTCCTGTAAGATGCGTATGATGCCCTGGGGAGTAGCAGTCAAGAGCTCGTCCAGGCTTCGCTGCCACTTTACTTGCTCTTTCCGAACATGACTGGGACCCTCTGAATGCCTCTGATAAGGAATCTTGTTCCACTCAGCTTGCTTCTTGCCGGCCGGACGCTTCGCAATCATGCGCTGCACCCCTCGTTTGGGGGCTGGAAATGGGTTCAAGCTCTTCCCCATGTTGTATGGGGCGTCAGGGCTGAGACAGTGGAAACTACGAATCACACCAATAAGGTCTTGAGTTAAAAGCAGACAAAGACATGCTCATGCAACTGGTGCTCTGTGACACGTCGTCCGGAGACATTTGGACGCATTTGTTTTACTGCGAGAGAGACGCGAGGTAACTGCTTCATATCGATTCGATGTTGCTACCTTTAGCAACATACAGACACCACGCCTCCAAAATCCAAAGCAACTCGAAGGTTTTTTTTAGCCCTATATCTTAAACCACACGACACACCAACATACATCACTTTGTGTGTACACATACTCAAAACGCAAAACCTATATGCTGGTTTCCCTTCAGTGATTAATAATAGTGTTATGTAACGAAGCCGACGAGTACTACTGAATGTGTCAAAACCAGTAGTCGGGCTAGCGTTGCGTGTCAGTACTCGGAGTCCACGAGTAGTCGGTATGGCACTCGCTGTGCGTCACTACTTGGAATCCATTGAGTCCACCACGTCCATTTCTGTGCACTCTTCGTCAATGATAGCTTCCAACATGCGCTCAATTTCATCAGGATGCTGACCGACCTGTGGCATGATATCTTCGTCATCAAAGTCATCGCAGGGGACACCTCGTATCTAACTTCACTGCACTTCGATATTAAAAACGAATATATGGCCACAATACTTTTATTTATACTTCTTGACGCACGAATTGCCTGAAAACTCTGGGTTGGGGATGTCAGAGACCGAAGAAGCTTTGATCTTTGGGTTCTTGCTGGAATCCACATGGGCGGACGATGCAGTCGGAAGAGGTCGCTTCTTTGATGGTGTAGGCGAGTCAAGTTCGATGACCTGTGGAGCCGATGCCTTCAAAGCCCGAAATGCTGTTGTGACCTTCTCTTCCTTGATCTTGACGCGAAGTGCTTCAGGCGAAAGGACAGACGCATGAACTGACTGAGGTGGCCTGACACATAAACGAGTATTGTTTTCATATCTATATTATGAAAAACAAGTTTATCTGATAGGCTCACATCTTAAACCCTAAACCCTAAATCCTTCACCTTAAACCCTAAAACCTATTTCATTAGGAACCACAGCCTACGCTCGCCGAACGGACTCGTAGGAGTACGGATAGTGTGACTGCGTGGGATAGTCTCTCCATTCAGGAGTCTGCGAAGCATCTCTTGTGACCAAGCACAGTCTTCGTGATAGCAGTCCGGAAGTTGATGCTGAGAAGGATTGAGCTTGTAGGCTTTGAAGATTGCGTGGTAAGATGGTGCGAGCAAGTCCTTGGGTTGATCTTTCTCCCACTCAATGAATGGCGCAGGAGAAGTGCTGGTGGCCGCAACTCGGTAGTAGATGCCATTGTCAGTGAGTACGATGAGATGGGTTCGGGCCAAGATTGCGGCCATGTCCTCATCATCATCAACACCGCAAAATGATGGGTTGATCAGCTTCAGGAATGTCTCGTGTGGAATTTCCCAGATTTTCCGGCTGTTCATGGCGGCGAATGCTTCCTCATCGACTCTGCGATCATAAGGATTGTTGCAAGCATGCCGACCAGCACCTTGCTCAAATTGCGCGGAAGAATATCGTGCCCATACCGTCGCATCCTCTTCCTTATGTAAATAGAAACTCTTATACATGTATTTAGAAAAAATATGGGTAACACCACCTACAAGTACTAAACACCACCCAGAAGTACTAAACGACACGCAATGAAAATTTATTTAATCTCGAAACAAAGACACAGAGGGGTTGAGGAAGGCTTTCAGGAAAGAGGCATCCATTTTCTGGAGCATGCCGTCGTCGAACACACCCGGCTTGAACCTTGTGAGTGGTTCAGCCTTGAAGAAATCCAAATGTTTAGCAGTCACAATCGAGGGCACGAGGTCCTTGCGATCTGCGACATCGATTTCGTACTTCGACTGCATGAAGAGGATTGTTTTCGAGCCTAAGGATTTTCCAGTCCGAGTTCGGCCGATCCATGTAATTGAGTGCTGGCGCATGGTGGGAAGCATCTTCGTGAGGATGATGTCAAAGAACCACGGTGTGAACGACTTCAGTGTAAAGGGCCAGTATTCCAGCGACTTCGCATTCTGCCTGCCGCGCATGTGATTGTGCAGTGCTTCCTTGACCTTCCCCTCTGGCCAACCCTCGATCTTGCTCCCAGGCATGTTGATGTGTTCATCAGTCCACTCCATGAATTGGTTGCGATTATTGGCCTTTGGGCCAAAGTCCCTGATGAACTTGTAGCCTTCTTCTCTGGCCTGTTGGTCCACAGTGATTTTTTTCTCGTACTTGGGCTTGAGTACCCAAAATCTAAGCTGTTTACCGCCCATTTTGTCCATCATGAAGTTCAGTCCCATGAGAGCAACTCTTGTATGATGTCCCCATTCGAATCTCAAAGAAGTGCCGTGACACATAGCGACACAGTCCGCTGCGGTGAGTTTGTTGCGATGCAAGTACACATGCTTGAAGATGTGGAAATAGGAGCCGTTTGGATCTCCACCTGCCGGTGGCTCACTCGACTGAATGATGATTTGCATGGTGTAGGGCACGGAGGGTTCCTTCTTCAGATTGAAAGGCTCAGGCAACTGGGCAAACTTGCTCTCGCAGCAAATCTTGTAGAGGTTATCGAAAAGGGCACTTGTGATCTCGATGGGGTGGCATAAGAGGGCATCGGCGAACTGCTCAATTTTGTGTCCCACACTAGATTCTAGGTGCCGCACAGGAAGATCGCCCACATCAACTTCTCCTACCGCCCTATCTGACCGGAAAGGTCGTCTTTCCGGCCCTTGCAGTTTCATGCCATTGACTTGGCCGCAAGCCTCATCAAAGGTTAACGGCCCGTCTTGAGCTTCAGCTTCGGCTGAGCGAAAGGACGCCATTGGCAAGGAGAGATGCGAGTGTGATGGAGCGACAACGAGTATGGTGACTGCGAGCCGCGAAAAAATGTGCAAAGACACGACGTTCCGCATATCCGCAACTCTCCGTTTACGCAGCACGCACACCAAAACCAAAAAAACCAAAAAAACCAAAACCAAAAAAACCAAAAAAACCAAAACCAAAAAAACCAAAAAAACCAATTTTCCGGGACTCTTGGAGAAGCCTGGTAGGAATTCCTGAGAGTCCCGGAAAATTGTTTTTTTTTGGTTTTGTTTTTTTTGTTTTTTTTGGTTTTGTTTTTTTTTTGGTTTTTTTTTGGTTTTGTTTTTTTTTGTTTTTTGCCTTCTATTAGTTTGATTTAGTAGCCTGCATTGCCTTTTTTGCTTGTTTTGCCTTTTTTGCCTTTTTTGCCTTTTTTGCCTTTTTGCCTTTTTTTGCCTTTTGTTGCATTTTTTTTGCCTTTTTTGTGCCTTTTTTGTACCTAAACCCTAACGATGCATACCAAGTGGGCTTGTAGTGCAGCTGGGTGACCTGAGACAAGGCAAGAAAAAGGTAGGTCACTGGGGGGGGGGGTACCATATATATATATATATATATATATATACATGTATATATATATATACATATCTAAAGTCTACATATGCTAACATAAATTGTTTTTCTTCGAACATCCCGCTTCGAACTTCGCAAAGGCAGTGCTTCACCTCTGCGCCTTCGTGGTGATGAGGTCACGGCTTCGTAAGCAAGCAGCAGTGGTTGCCGGATGTGCTTCGCTGCGCCACCTGACTGCGTGGGTACCCGTGTTCAGACACCCACTCCGGACGCCTCGTTCGGTGAGCCTCCGCAGACACAGTGTTTCCACGAAGTCTTCGGGCACTTTCGTGAGAGGATGTCGTACTCCATTGTCAAAACCGCCTTACGAAGCGACAGCTCCTGATGTACTGAGGGCAGCGACGCCGCACAGCACCGAAGTGCGAACGCTCCCTGCAGATCTGTGGCGCTAATCTGGGCCGGGATGTCATGAGTCAACCGGGGCTTCAATCCATGGAGACCGCGGCGCGAGTTTTCGCCATTGCCGGCCTCGGTTGTTTCTTTTGCTCCTGTGCCCGCTTCTGGAGCTAGACGGAGCTGCCCGGCATGGCGCCATGGCAGCCATTGCATGCCAGGCGAGCACCAATAAAGAAGCGAAGCTTCCCGAAATGGCCCTCGCCCCCAAGAGGCGTGCCGATATCCTGCGGCGGCTGCGGCGGCGGCATCCTACGCCGGCACATGTGTCTGGGTGTGCTTGGTGCGCACAGTGTGCCCTGCTGTCGCTTCCAGGCTTGGATATGCCTTGGAGCCCCTGCCTTGCGAAGGGGAGCCTGTGCAGGCTGTGCGAACAGCTGGGGAGCGCTTCGCGGCCGGAGAAGAAATGCTGTGCCGTGGGCCACAAGCACAGCTGCAGCACAGCGACACAGTTGAAGCACAGGTAGCTCACTGACAGAAACACCGCTGGTGCATATTCATCCTTGGTGGCGCTCACCTGGATGCACCTGACTCAAAGGCGCTTGCAGCATTTCGCATGTGTGCTCCGTCTTCCGCGCTTCTGGCTGGTTTGACTCAGCTTCCGCAACTCCCCGCTTGCCTCCCCATCAGCACATATCAGCATCACACCTCGTAGAATGGACCAAAGTTGCCAGCTGTAACGACAGCTCCGAGCCTATGGCTCGGGCTGACAGAGCTAGTTGGCCCTTTTCTCAGTGCCACAAGGTACATCAAGTTGAAAGATGAACTCGCCGGTTTCAGTGGACTCGCCGAGATGAGAAGTGCAGAGAAGTTGGCTCAATCTGCGAGAGTCTTCTTGGGGAGCGAAGAACTGGCCCTAAACCCTACGCTCTGGAGCCCTAAACCAGAAAGTGCCCAAACTTTCCGGGTTTAACTGGGCACCATTTGGTGCCGACTTATGTCTGCTAGAAAGCGATGCCTCAAGCCCAGGCGCCTTGAATTGAAGCAATTTGGGGTGGGCTCTACGTTGACATGGCCTTATTGGGTTGAAGGACCAGGGTTTTGTGTAGTGTTGCTAAGGCAGAAGCAGACAAGCCTTACATAGACTTTCGTGGCAGCGTGCAGGTTTCCTTGAGGGTTGGCCGTCAGCTGTCGTGGGGTTCGATGGATTTCTGCCCGGACCTCGTGTGAGGCGACCCTGATGAGACCTACATCGGGTTCAGGGTTTATAAAAGCTACGTCGTAGGAAACCGTGCCGTCAGCATTCAGCGGAAAATTTTCACGCCTCGGCACAACTGTAAAACCTGAGCCCAAACCTGTAAACGAACCCTGACCCCCAGGCGGGACCTGGGCATGTAGGGGAGTTGTAGTGAAGACCCCACGCAGTTCCACCCAGCTCTACATCCCACCAAACGCTGGGCCCAGAGCCCGAAAGCCTGCAAAACCCTGCTCTGGGACTGAGTCCTCTCGAAAGCCTCAGCCACGTTAAAGCCCTCCTAAAGCAAAATCAGGGACCCCTAATATAGTCCCGAAATAGTAGGATTCCCTCCTAATAAGAACCCCAAAAAGGCACCCGCCCCAATTTCGGAAGCCCCCCAATTCACCAAGCATCCTCATTTATCCCTAGACTCCTAGAGGGCGGCGAGCTGATGGGCGACACGGCGACTCGGACACTGGTCCCCAAGGAAAAGGCCCGGAGGAAGAAACTTGTGCAAGCCTTAGTGCTTGAACTGAAGTCTGACTTCGACTTGAGTTCTGGGTTGGGTCGTGTTTAAGTTCAGTGGTTTTAGGGAGCAAGGTTGCTGTTCAAGGTGTTGCCCTTGTTTGATTTTATAGGGGTTGTAGTTGCATCCTGATGGCTGAATCAACATATTTTATCTGTAGTCGAGTGGGTTCTGGGGGGCTTCAGATGTTGAAATGTGTTTTTACACCTTTAATTTAATCTCTCAGCCAGGAGCCTTCAGTGCTTCAGAGGCTGGCGAGCCACGGGGCCCCAAGTGCCTCCCCCCCCCCCACCTGTGGTATTCATGTGTTGCAAGGTGCTGAAGAAAGAGCCCAAAGCAAGCCCTGCTGATGAAGAACAGGACCTGGGTGTTTTCCCGAAGCTCTGTGACCTAGACATATTCCTGGCGGTTGTGTATGCTGTCATGGGAAAACTCATTGCGGCCGCGTTCCGCGACTGCAGGCCGAGCACGCCCGAGTCGCCCGAGTACGCCCGAGTACGCCCGAGTACGCCCGAGTACGCCCGAGTACATACCCGGTCATACCCGGGCATACCGTCCCGTGGTTTTCCGCAGTCGCGGTTTCCCGTCACAGTGGGAAAACTGACAAAAGCCTCGAAAACCTTGACTTGTAATCCCGGGAAAACTTCGAATAGTTTTGCTGTCCGGTGAGGACGACGGCGGAAGTCGGCCTGCCCCTTCCAAGGCAGAGCTGAGAAAGGAGCTTCCTTGAGAAGGGACAAATGAAAGGTTACGCATGGGGGGTTGGTATAAGCACTTGAGCAAGGCCGTGTGTTCAAGCTGCTTTCGTTCATTGTTTCATCATGTGGAAGTCTGCGTTCTGAAGGAGCTCGCGAAGTCCGTGGCTCATGGGGCCCACGACCAAGTGAAGCGGCTCCTTGAGCAAAGAGCCAGTGTAGATGGTGACCTCGGCCTGGCAGGGGCAGTGAGAAGCAACTTCTTTGCTGTGGCGGGGCTTCTTTTGGATGCGCGGGCCGATGCCAACATTCCAGACGACGAGGGAGTATCGGCCTTGGTAAGGGCTGCAACTCGGTGTCGCCCCGAAGGTGCTGAGATGGTAAAGCAACTCCTGACTTGCGGCGCCCTGCTGGAGCCCAACGCAGAATCTGAGCCGACAAAGGAGACAAGCACGGGCTCCTTTGTGACGGATCGCGCAAGTTTCAAGGTGGCGGATCTCCTGGTGTACCTGCTTCGTGGCGAGGGGAGCGCCTTTACAAACATCGTGGAGGTCTTGCTGGAAGAGGTTGGGGGGCATGCTCTTCTCGAGCTTGAAAAAACTGCCGTCGTCTTGGTCGTCGCAGTCGCAGGCGCAGACGCAGGCGCAGTCGCAGTCGCAGTCGCAGCAGTGTCATAGCCGGACTCAGGAGCAGACATAAAGTGCATGGCTGCATGGGATCAGATGCACACACGGGCCCAGAACAAACGCAGGTCTGGACGAGAGGCCCATGAGCACAGACACGCAGCAACACGAAGCCATATTTTTCCAAAAGGCTGCTATTTGTCCGTTAGCGGTGGTGCTCTTGTGTGCACTAGGGCATTTTTGAGTGATGATTAACAACGCAAGGCGTTGGACATGTAAACGTACAAAGATTCGATTTTTTTACCGAGTCGCAGAGATATGGCCGGGAGGTCGAGAAGTACCGGTCGGAGAGGTTGCGGGAGCACATGCGCACAATCCTGGGCTGCTACGATGACGAGAAAAAGCGTGTGCTGGGGCTTCCTTGGAAAGTCCTTTAATGTAGGAGCTTAAGTAGTAATTACCATTTTTGTCCTTATGTTTGTAGTGCCTATATAAACATAAGGTACGATGCCCCCGAAAACTCCCTTCTAATAATGTAGGCCCCCGCATGATACCAGTGTACGAGCCGTGGCCTAGCATTCTACAAGAGAGGTTTCGTTGCTGTCCACAGGTGTTTTGGCGCCTAGAACGGTTAGGCTTGCAAGAATGATGTTTTTGAGCAACTCAGGCGAAGAAATTTCTGGATGACAAGAAGTACCCGAATCTGAAACCCGAGGATGTCGACTTGTTCAACCTGAACTTTCAGAACCTGCTCTATGCCCCCGAGGTACAAACCTCCTTGCGAAGGCTTCGAATATCCGCACCCGTCGCGTGCAAATCGGCGGTGCTGAAGGCTGTGGCGGAAACCGCCAATGAGGGGACCTTGGCCACCGATACCGTAGAGGCCCCTTGACAAAAGTAACGTACCTGTTAAAGTCGCGCAACAGTTGTCCCTGCTGTCTTACCCTTCTGCCTCACAGCAGTCTAAGCCTCAACCCTAAGTTCCCCAAAGCCTGAATCGTAAACCTTACGCTGGAGGCTCTGGTTTCTGCGGCCTGGCTGCAACTGCGTGCGTTCACTGCGATCGATGTGGGACTGGATGCAGTGGCCTTGGCCTGCCTATGTTGCCCGGACTCCGAGTATGTTTTGGAGGTTTTGGGTCTCTCGGCTCTCGGGACTTTCGGGGCTTGACGGGCTTCAGGGCTTTTCAAGGTTCCGTGCTTGGGTGAGTCGGTCTTGTCAAAAGTTCGCAACAAATGGCAAAGACAGTTCTTTTGGTAACTAGGTGGGCTGTTGAGCCAGAAATGGACAGGTGCAAAAAGGTCAAAACGAATCGCTGTAGCAGTAGTGGCAGTTCGACGACGGCTACTGCTACGACTACTGCAACAACCATTACTACTCCCTCGTCCTACTGCAACAACAATAGTAATTCTTTCTCGTACTCTCACCCGTACTCTTCTGACAACTACTAGCACTCTCATGGTCCCTAGGTTGGGTAACCTACGCCTGCCGGTCTGAAGAACTGGATGCTCAGCCTGTGCCCCAGCAGAACTTCTTAGGTTCCCCCCGGACCCGCAAGCAGACGCTTGTTCGTCAAGCCCTAAATTTCACGGGGTTTTGCGGGGGCTTAGGGCCTAACCCCTAAACCGTACCTTCACACCCTAGAATAATGAGATTTTTTGAGATCCCCGCACTCGCCATGATGGGTTCGGTTTTGTTATTTGCAACAGTACCAACTTGAGTTATTCCTCCAAGCTCTGTGGCGCAGTCAAGTTCTTCTCTCAGACACTAAACCCTTGCAGCTTCAATTACTTGCTTGCGGGCTGTCGCTTCTACATCTCTTTCCTTGTGCTTGCGATCCGCGCACAAGAGCTTCAAGCTGCCGGGCTTTCTCCGCGGTTGAATGAGCGCCTGCTAAAGACATTCCTCTCAAGGGCTTCCTTGTTCGGGATGCTCGGCATCCTTGCCTCCATCGCCACCTGTAAGGAGACAGAGAGCCGCGAGTGAAGCCTTCACGCCCTAAACCCGAAACCCGAAACCCGAAACGTTAAACGCTAAAGTTGAAGGCCCCTTCGCCCTAGGCTCGATGACTGCCTTGCGCCATTCGTCGTCGAGCCCCGCTTGCTCGAAGCGACAAAATCTCCAAAGTCTCTACAAAGGCTTGAAGCCCGTAACACCTCAAGAACCCTTTTCCCAAAGATAGAACAACAAAAAGCCTGAACACTAGACTACTGTACCCAAAGAGCCCAATGCCCCTTAAATTCAGGAGGTTACTTTAAATCATATTCAGGATCCTTATATGATTTAAGGCATGGTCCTTAATTAAGGGGTGTAAAGGGCTCTCTGGGTACCCCCGAACTAAATCCAAGGCCAGCTCTCTGGGCCCTGGCGATGATTCAGGGCAAGGAGGCTGTGGAGTCTGGGGCTTTTAGGGGCCATCTGATGCGGGAAATTTTGGGTTGCATGTTTTTTTTTTTGAAGTTTTTTTTTGCATGTTTCCCTCCTTTGTTGCGGGGACCATTAGGGGGCTTGGGGGATCTCAGAAAAAACTCTCAGGGAGGGTTTATAGGGTGTAGGCTGTTGGGGTTTGGGGTGTTTAAGGTTTACCTAAGATGTGCTAGCCTGAATGGCATAGTTCCGATTTCTGGTATTCCAGGGTACTGTCACCTGTAGCTGTACTTCTATTCTTAAATGAGTGCTGAGCCTAGAAGTTTTTCTACTTGGGTCGCTTCTGGGTCTTGAGTAGCCTTGGACCCCAGGATTAGTGTGCTGCATCTTGCGTTCCCCCTTCCCATACCTTCAAAAACCACCCTTTTAAGTAAAGGGCAGTCCATTATTTAAATGCTCGCATTGTAAAGATGATGAAGTTCTTGAACCACACGAAATGAAGCCCAAGACCCAACTTCCCGAACTCTAAGCCAAGAGACCCAGGAATGGTCCGCTCAAGTTGGCCTGTTCCTGTGGGGGCACTTGCCTTGCAGACCTACGCTGCCTGCGGTTGGCCGCCTAAACTTCAAAAGCGAAGATGCACAGCAGGAAAAGCCTCCTTGCTTGCAGGATGCCAAGTCTATGGTGCTAAATGATCTGAGTGATGGGGCCGCTGCTTCAGCTCACCCGGCTCCGAGTCTGGAAACTTTCGCTGATCTGTTGTTTTTGGTTTTTGGCTTCGCCGCCATTGTTCGCCAGATGGAGTTCTGCAACGACTTGGACCAGTATTGGTTGCCCTGGTTTTGTTCCATGTATTGGCTCCGCTTTGCGTACAGCTTGCGCGGGGAACGGTGGCTGGGGCCGTATCTTCTTCCCATTCTCTCCGCCGTTCGCGACACTGGGGCTTTCTTCTTCGTCACCTTGCTGTGTGTGGCCTCCGCGACCCATGCTTACATCATCCTTAACCCCCGAGGGGGGGACACCTTCCCACTGTATTCGGCCTTTACCCATACCATCCGCTTGGCCATGTTCGGAGACTTTGACCTCTTTGAATACCAGGGCCAGGACTATCTACGTGAGGGTTGTTCTACCTGCAAAAAGACCGCTGTTTGGTCAGTATTCTTCGCATGCTCCCGAAACGGTAGGCCCAAAAACCCAAGAGCCTAACCCTAAACCCCCCCAAGCCGCTGACTCCAAAACACAACCTCTAGGACACCACCTACGTGCTCAACGCCACGACCGGCGTCTCGGAGCCGAACGACCCGCGGCCTGAGGACCTCGGGGACACATGGCAGATGACCTACATCTATCTGCAGCTCTTGTTCTTCTGCACTGGGGTGGGTGTGGATGTACCTGTGACACCGAACTTACTGGGAATTTGTACAGATCAGACTCATTGCTCTTTGAAGGGTGGCTACAATTAATTTGCGGGTAAAGAGGATTTGTAACTCGATTCACTTGTATTTGAATAGGCATTGCCTGCTAAATAGCAGGTACTGCCTATGAACTCGTGAAAAATAGAGTCGCAAGGTACTTCTGATGAACCTTTTGATCGGTATCCTCAGCAACAACTATGACGAGCATTTGAAGCGAGCACAGGTGCTCTTCGTGCAGGCCTGGCCCCTAAGCCCTTTAAACCCTGCAACCTCGACAATTTAAAAGCCCTCGACAAACCCCCAAGAGAATCTCCCTAAGACCCTCTCTTTGTGCAGGCCCGGGCACGTATGCTGCTTGAGCACCAGCGCCGGCCTTGGATGAGGCTGGCGAAGATGATCCAGGGTCCAGGTGCGGCGGGGGGCACAAGTTCTTCGAAGTTCTGTCCCGGTTTGGGTTTAGGGGATGGTGTTCGAAATTCCGTTATTGTATACTTTGCATCTAGCGTGCCCGAAGATTCAGAGTCTTCATCAGGTCATGGGAAGTCCTCCTCCGAGCTGAAAATGTCGAGATGCAACAGTTTTTGCAGCTGGCTGGGGATCACAGCGTTGCGACCCCTTCAACCAGTGCTGGCACCCCCTCAAGACCGGGCGTTTGTCCTTCGCAAGGAGGACGTCTTCAATCGCGTAATTGCACGTCTGGTACTGGAGCCTGTTTCGCGATCACACTTCTTCGCCTTCGTGATTTCTTTGATGCTCAGACAGTCAGGGGTACCCCTTTATTCCTTTTCGTGTTCTTGGTCCCTTGCGAAACGCTCCACACCACAAATCAAGCTTGATGTGCGAGCTCTGACAAAGTACATAACACCCTAAACTCTAAACATCCCAAAACCAATAGCCTCTAGAACCGTGAAATCCCAACAGCCCTAAGATTCTGGGGCTCCCCCAGAGACGTTGAGACGCACTACACAAGCCCAAAGACTTTTCAAGCCCTAACAGCTCTAAGAATATCGAAAGACCCAAAAGCCCAAAAGAAAGCTTCGCAAAAAGTCCTGCAGGCACTAAAACAACCCCAGCAAGTCTAACAAAAACCTAACAACCCTGAGCAGCCCAAAGAGAAAGCCGCTCTGAAAAGCTCCCTAAGAAGCTCCCTGAAAAGCTCCCTTAGACTTAACCCCCCCCCCCTCCCCCCTGAGGATGTCCCCGGTGCTCTTGGTCCTGTCCCTCGCAAGCCTGGTGACGTTTCTGGCCGTGGCCTTGGTTCTTCGCATCCTGGGCTTCCAGGTCCAAGGCCGGTCGACAGGGTCCGGTAGTAAGAGGGCTTAGGGTTGGGGGTTTAGGGTTTAGGGTAGATGATTAGGGTCGGGGGTTTAGGGTTTAGGGTTGAGGGTTTAGGGTTTAGGGCTAGGGTTTAGGGCTTAGGGTTTAGGGATTTGGGTAGAGAGTTCTTTGGGCCTCGGGTTTTTGGGTTTCAGGGCTCAGGGTTGGGGTACGGATCATATGCTGCTTGTACGATGACGACGATTGAATATCTACATCTACATATATTTTACGACTGCCATTATCAGCACCAGTCCCACCACAACGACGACTACCACTACTGCTTCTGCTATTGCTACTAGTGGGGCAAGAGCTAGTAATTCGTAAGTTTTTGGACAGCTGCTATTTGTATTCATACCTACTCGTCTATGCTTTCATTTTTTTTGACAGGTTCTTGCGGACGCCACCACTACTCCCACTCAGCACCACTGATTCACGTTTAATTATCTCCTGCTCGACTACCTATCCGGCTTGTTGTAATCTCTTGGCGTTCATATTCAGGTCTTAGAAGCTGTTTCTCTTCTTCTAAACTACTTATGGAGGCTTGCACTACACGATCAACCTCACAGTCTTCGGCCTCTTCGGAGACCGCCCTGCGTCCGAGTGCCAGATTATGGCTCTGGTGCATCAAGACACGGAAGAGCAAGATCTCCAGGAGACAGGGGATCTCAGGTCAGTTTTTGTAGCAGCAATTCTTCAAAGTGGTTTGCTTAAAAGTGGTAATTCAGACAGTTGCTACAAATGATGAGTGTGCGATTTTTGTGCTCCATAGGTCGACCGTGAAGCTTGTGGTGTGGGGTTCAGGGGATTTCGGGCACGCGTCCGTCGACTCAGGGCGTTCATTTGGCGCGATCTGTTTAATGTGTTGTTTCTCGCGGTGTGCCCCATGGTCTAGGAGCAGGTAAAGAACCTGGACACAGCGCTGAAAGAGCATCACCGAGAGCAGCAGGACGTTTCCCTTCAAAAGCCCTAAGGGCTCTGCGCGCATTCTGCCAGTTCCCTATGAAGCCCGTGTGTTGTGAAGGTCGGTTAATTCGTCTTTGTCATAGCTATGGCAGCTGGCAAGTCCTCCGAATTAAACGGTGCTAGATCTTGGGGTTTCGGCTTGTCCATACAGGAATCCACAAACGGCTGAACTCCGGAAAAAGTCCAGTGCTCTGAAAGGACGGACGGAAGAAGTTGGAGCAAATCATGCAGGAGCCGCGGCCACAGCACGTCCAACACACCATTTCAGCCCCATGCTCCGGCAAAACACATGGTCCCTTCAGACCCTAGACCCCCAATGACCCTAAACCCCAAGTCCTAAGCCCCTGCGCTTTAATCGCATGCCCGGCAGTATTGCAGGTCCTAGTTCCTGAGCCCATTTAAACCCCAGCCCAAATCTTGTCAAAGTTACGGCGTTTCCCCATTTGAAAAGATCGGACCTTTTTCAAGATATGGTTATTCTAACGTACTCCGTTTTTGGGTACCCCATCTCGTATGGCATATGCTATAGCGTGCCCAAAACTATGTATCGGGGACCTAGCTAGGACCCGGCCAGTAAGTTTTGAGCAAGACCTATGCTTGCAGGACCAAGTGGGGAAGGCGAATGGCGGGCTGCAAAAGCAGCTTAAAGATCAGACGGACCTTTGCCTGGATTCACCGTACATCTCCATGCCTTGAACCAAGCACCCCTGAACTCGGAAACATGGGCCTTAGAAGGACAGGCTGACGGAGCTGGAGAACATGATGAAGGAGCAGCAGTTGCGGCAAGCTGCGAATCAGGACCCACATTGCTCCCCCCAATATCCAGCAGATGGAAGTCCTCGTCGGCTTAGGGCCCTCTAGACCCTAAACCCCAAAATCCTGAAGCACCCTACAGTCCAGCCCTTCAAGGTTGGAAATTTCCTTTGCGCTTGTTGGGCCGCGTCCACGGTTCAGTTTCAAAGGGGGGTGTTGAGGGGCTTCGGATTTTTGGGTTTTGGATCTAGGGTTTCAGTTCGGGCCTGGAGGCCGTCCTTAGGGTTTATGGCGTTGTTTGGCTTTGTGTTAGGGTTCTACAGTTTTCCAGGGGGTGCGCAGAGCAGGAACAGATGAGGAGCCTGGATGAGAAGCTAAGCCGACTGCTGCGACTCCTCCACGATGGCTGCCCGGCTTCTGAACCTGGCAACCCTTTGGATTCTTTGGGGTTTAGGGTTTAGGGTTTATGGAAAATCCAACCAGTTTAAAGGGCACCCCTAAAGCATGCCGAAGCTCGAACCCTCGAAGCACCAGGGCGTTCCAGGAAGTAGAGTCGTCTAAGGGCTCGTAAACGCATCTCCAGTTGTAGTTCAATCAGGGTTCAGGGTTTGGGACTTAGGGTTGAGTAAGAGGATACTGAGTGGTGCAAACCAAGGCTGACCATCGCACCCCGACTTTCGAAGCCCCAAACCTTGTTGCAAGCTCTGAGCGAGGGTTTAGGGCTTTTAGGGTTTGTTGCTTTTAGGATTTAGGGGTTTTGGGGTTTAGTGTTTTTAGGGTTTAGAGTTTTTAGGGTTTATGGCTTATGGGACGAACGGCACCAAGCCAAACCCCGAGCCAAGCCAAGCCAAGCCGCACCTAAGAGAAAAAGACCCGGAAGCCGAAGCCATTCATAGACACCCAGATCTGCCAAACCCCCTGATTAAGGAATAATCCCCAATTCATAACTATTCTAAATTAGGGTATATTCCTTAATTGAGGGTTTGGGACTATCGGCACGAAACCCAGGAACCTAGACTCCACACCTCGGACGAAGCCCGAATCGAAAAGTTCTAAGATGAGCCCTAAACCCTGTTAAACCCTAAGCCCTAAACCCTAATCCCGAAACCCTAATCCCCCAACCCTCTTCTCCGAGAGGTGCCGCCTAACCTGGAGTTTCGGCTGGGCCGCGTGCGCTGCGGGCGGGTCTGAGGCGAGCGGCCCAGAAGTTCGCATGGTTTTGGCCAACCCTAAAGCCACCAACCCCAAAGACCCTATAAAACCCCAAGGCCCTGAAACCCTTAAACCCCAAACCCCCTGAACTCCTAAGCTTCGGGGCTGTATTTGGGGTTTAGTCCGGGTCTAGCGTGTGTTTCCTACATCTTGGAAGGCGTTAACCCAGACTTAACATCTAGGCCTTCGGGCATATCGGTTTCGGTTCTTTTGAGCTGTGCATGTACGAGGGTGCAGGGTTTCGAGTTTCGAGGTTTTTGTGGGTGACTAGCCGAGGGCCTGCAACACCATGGCCATCATGTAAGCTGCAGTCGTATCCCTGAGTATACAATCATTGAGCACATAAAAGTCCTGGGTATTATCGGTTAAGTGAAGCCGTAGTTCAGTGAACACCATGAAGGCCCCAGTTCTGCAAGCGAAGCACAAAACCCTACACTGCAACTCTACACTGCAACTCTGAAGCTTTAAGCCAAGCAACCTTACAGCCCCCAAAACCCACTGATCCAAAACGAACGCAGCCATCGGGCGCATTGTCGCATCAGTGCCAAAGGCAACCGTGATGGATGTGTACAACTCCATGGCTACAATTGTGGATGGGTCCATTCCCAACAACATGTTCTCCAAGGTGAATCCTCTTGATGCAGCTGCCGCTGCAAAGGGCTTCTACACCTTCAAGGATGTGGTGGCAGCGTCGCAGAGGTGATGAGAGTTTTTGGGCGCTATGGCGTCGAATGGTCGGACCCCTTTAGGGCCATATTTCAAAGTAATTGTTCCAAATTACTTTTTTAATTGTACAGAAGAAAATTGGAGTCGTTGGCGATTGACGACAAAGTTGTGCCTTGCAGCAGTGATAACTGGGCTTGAGATTGGCAGGTGCGGCATTCAGAGCTTATTCTTGCTTTAGTAGCATTGTTCGAGGAAGTGCTTCTTTGCCGGAGTTTTTGGGCTCCACCTGGCTGTTGCACGCAGCAAAGTACTCCGTCCTTTCCTTGGAGTCATGGCACGCTCATCGTGGAAAGTCTTGAGCGTGGCTGCTGCGCTGGTCGCTTTGTACAACTTTTGCAACAGCTTGAGTTTTGTGCCCGGGCCCTTGAGAAAGCAGCTGCCGGTGGCCGCTGCGTCTGCAGCCGGCATGATGATGGCTCCAGCTGCTTTCGCTGACGAGATTGGTGACGCCGCGAAGAAGCTTGGTGATGCTTCCTATGACTTCGCGAAGGAAGTGGACTGGAACAACGGCATCTTCTTGCAAGCTCCTGGCAAGTTCCAACCTCTCCAAGCCCTGAAGGCGATTGACAAGATGATTGATATGGGAGCAGCCGCCGACCCCAAGCTCTTGAAGGCAGCGGCGGAGGCCCATCACAAGGCCATCGGAAGCATCTCGGGCCCCAACGGTGTGACTTCTCGAGCTGATTGGGATGCGGTGAACGCAGCTCTGGGCCGCGTAGTGGCGTCTGTCCCCAAGGCAAAGGTCATGGACGTCTACAATGCGGTGAAAGACATCACTGACCCTGCCGTGCCCCCCTACATGAAGTCTTTGGTCAATGGTGCAGATGCCGAGAAGGCATACAAGGGCTTCTTGGAGTTCAAGGATGTGGTGGAAAAGAGCATTGGAGTTGATTCAGATTTATGTTTGACTTTCTCATACTTTCTCAGCATGCCCATGTCGTTCTGCATCTGCATCGCTTCTAAGCTGAATTCCTCAAACAAATCCAAGGAACCAAGTGTCCGCGGTTGGTGCTCCTGCCACTGTGCCCACTGGTGACAAGATTGGTGCGGCAGCGAAAGCCCTCTCGGATGCATCGTACCCTTTCTTGAAAGAGGTGCAGGATTGCAAAGTCTTTGCTAGAGAGCAATGAGAAGCTTCATGTAGTCCCCAATGCCATGTCCAGTTCCGAAAGGCTTGAGATGGGTTTCCTTTGACCGAGCATGCTGGTTTGTTTGTGTGCGAACCATGCGAACCCTCAGGTGGACTGGCTGTCCGATGTTTACCTGAAGCCGCTGCCAGGCACCACCGCCCCGAAGGTGATGACCGCCATTGACAAGATGATCGTCATGGGCAGCCAGATGGACGGAAACCTGTTGAAGGCTGCCGCCGAGGCGCACCACAAGGCCATTGGCAGCGTCGACGCCAAGGGAGTGACGTCTGCTGCGGATTACGAGGCAGTGAACGCAGCTATCGGGCGCATTGTCGCATCAGTGCCAAAGGCAACCGTGATGGATGTGTACAACTCCATGGCTACAATTGTGGATGGGTCCATTCCCAACAACATGTTCTCCAAGGTGAATCCTCTTGATGCAGCTGCCGCTGCAAAGGGCTTCTACACCTTCAAGGATGTGGTGGCAGCGTCGCAGAGGTGATGAGCGTTTTTGGGCGCTATGGCGTCGAATGGTCGGACCCCTTTAGGGCCATATTTCAAAGTAATTGTTCCAAATTACTTTTTTAATTGTACAGAAGAGAAGTGGAGTCGTTGGCGATTGACGACAAAGTTGTGCCTTGAAGCAGTGTTATATGGGCTTGAGATTGGCAGGCGCGGCATTCAGAGCTTATTCTTGCTTTAGTAGCATTGTTCGAGGAAGTGCTTCTTTGCCGGAGTTTTTGGGCTCCACCTGGCTGTTGCACGCAGCAAAGTACTCCGTCCTTCCCTTGGAGTCATGGCACGCTCATCGTGGAAAGTCTTGAGCGTGGCTGCTGCGCTGGTCGCATTGTACAACTTTTGCAACAGCTTGAGTTTTGTGCCCGGGCCCTTGAGAAAGCAGCTGCCGGTGGCCGCTGCGTCTGCAGCCGGCATGATGATGGCTCCAGCTGCTTTCGCTGACGAGATTGGTGACGCCGCGAAGAAGCTTGGTGATGCTTCCTATGACTTCGCGAAGGAAGTGGACTGGAACAACGGCATCTTCTTGCAAGCTCCTGGCAAGTTCCAACCTCTTCAAGCCCTGAAGGCGATTGACAAGATGATTGATAGCTCTTGAAGGCAGCGGCGGAGGCCCATCACAAGGCCATCGGAAGCATCTCGGGCCCCAACGGTGTGACTTCTCGAGCGGATTGGGATGCGGTGAACGCAGCTCTGGGCCGCGTTGTGGCGTCTGTCCCCAAGGCAAAGGTCATGGACGTCTACAATGCGGTGAAGGACATCACTGACCCCGCCGTGCCCCCCTACATGAAGTCTTTGGTCAATGGTGCAGATGCCGAGAAGGCATACAAGGGCTTCTTGGAGTTCAAGGATGTGGTGGAAAAGAGCATTGGAGTTGATTCAGATTTATGTTTGACTTTCTCATACTTTCTCAGCATTCCCATGTCGTTCTGCATCTGCATCGCTTCTAAGCTGAATTCCTCAAACAAATCCAAGGAACCAAGTGTCTGCGGTTGGTGCTCCTGCCACTGTGCCCACTGGTGACAAGATTGGTGCGGCAGCGAAAGCCCTCTCGGATGCATCGTACCCTTTCTTGAAAGAGGTGCAGGATTGCAAAGAAGTCTTTGCTGGAGAACCAATGAGAAGCTTCATGTAGTCCCCAATGCCATATCCAGTTCCGAAAGGCTTGAGATGGGTTTCCTTTGACCGAGCATGCTGGTTTGTTTGTGTGCGAACTATGCGAACCCTCAGGTGGACTGGCTGTCCGATGTTTACCTGAAGCCGCTGCCAGGCACCACCGCCCCGAAGGTGATGACCGCCATTGACAAGATGATCGTCATGGGCAGCCAGATGGACGGAAACCTGTTGAAGGCTGCCGCCGAAGCGCACCACAAGGCCATTGGCAGCGTCGATGCTAAGGGAGTGACGTCTGCTGCGGATTACGAAGCAGTGAACGCAGCAATCGGGCGCATTGTCGCATCAGTGCCAAAGGCAACCGTGATGGATGTGTACAACTCCATGGCCACAATTGTGGATGGATCCATTCCCAACAACATGTTCTCCAAGGTGAATCCTCTTGATGCAGCTGCCGCTGCAAAGGGCTTCTACACCTTCAAGGATGTGGTGGCAGCGTCGCAGAGGTGATGAGAGTTTTTGGGCGCTATGGCGTCGAATGGTCGGACCCCTTTAGGGCCACATTTCAAAGTAATTGTTCCAAATTACTTTTTTAATTGTACAGAAGAAAAGTGGAGTCGTTGGCGATTGACGACAAAGTTGTGCCTTGCAGCAGTGTTATTTGGGCTTGAGATTGGCAGGTGCGGCATTCAGAGCTTATTCTTGCTTTAGTAGCATTGTTCGAGGAAGTGCTTCTTTGCCGGAGTTTTTGGGCTCCACCTGGCTGTTGCACGCAGCAAAGTACTCCGTCCTTCCCTTGGAGTCATGGCACGCTCATCGTGGAAAGTCTTGAGCGTGGCTGCTGCGCTGGTCGCATTGTACAACTTTTGCAACAGCTTGAGTTTTGTGCCCGGGCCCTTGAGAAAGCAGCTGCCGGTGGCCGCTGCGTCTGCAGCCGGCATGATGATGGCTCCACTCTTTCGCATGACGAGATTGGTGACGCCTCGAAGAAGCTTGGTGATGTCCTATTATGACTTCGCGAAGGAAGTTGACTGGCACAAGGCAACTTTCTTGCAAGCTCCTGCAATTCCAACCTCTTCAAGCCCTGAAGTCGATGACAAGATGATTGATATGGGAGCCAAGCCGCCGACCCCCAAGCTCTTGAGGCAGCGCCGGAGCCTCACAAAGCCATCGGGGGGGAAGCATCTCTCGGGGGGCCCCAACGGTTGACTTCTCGAGCGATGGGATGCGGGTGAACGCAGCTCTGGCCCCCCGTGTGGTGGCCGTCTGTCCCCAGGCAAAGGTCATGGACTTCTCCAATGCCGGGAAGGACATCACTGCCCTTCGTGCCCCCCTACATGAAATCTTTGGTGCAATGGCGCAAGATGGCCGACGGCATACAAGGGCTTCTTGGAGTTCAAGGACGTGGTGGAAAAGAGCATTGGAGTTGATTCAGATCTATGTTTGACTTT